ATATATATAATTTATGCATATATTCCTGTTGTAAAGCGCCTTGGACATGCTCATGGATATGAGCGCTATATAAATAAACTTTATTATTCAATTTTAAACGCGCCGTGTTTTCTAGCTACGGTCTCGATCCGTCAAGTTACTACTTACCGACTCGATATAAACTGACTAGAAAAGATAAATTCACCTAATACTGCTTATGTCTATATAACTTGCAGAGACAAAGTGATCTCTATGGTAACAAAAAGGAAAAGTGTGGATAGTATAAAGAAGTTCCACACTAAAAAGCATGTCATGACAGATATCTATCTTCTACAAAAAGAAAAAAATGAGTCCAATATTTTTCATGAAATTTCGCATTTCCCTCTCTCTTAGTACAATTGATGGAGTTTTTTCTTTTAACTCAAGCCTTTCGCATCCTTTTTGATCCCTCGGAGTAATTTTTTCTTTTCAACTTAGTGAAGTTTATCCAACAATCAGTTTCTTTCATCTGCAAAAGTGTTGTATAAAAAACGATAAAAATCATTCCTATTATTCTTAATTCGTTTTTCCAAGGTGTTCATGTTTTTCTTTGAAGAAGTCCCTAATTATACGTATATAGGAAGATGCCAAAAATGCAAAAGGATTTTCCTCTTAAAAAATCCCTGTCAACCAGTGACTTCGTACTCTGACTATGCACAATTCCTGGACTTACTATTATTCGTTGCGACTTCTCCTTGAATTCACAGACTGAGATTTCTTCCTGGCCGCTGTATGGAGTATTTTTTTCCAATAAAGCAAGTCAATCGTCCCCTAACTAATCTCTGGCTCAACGAATCTCAGTCTAGGGATCGTTTGTGATTGAGTGCACGATTTTTGGTTTCAGTTTGTTTCTAGATAGTCACAGCGCCACATACTGATTTAAACTTATCACCTTCTTTTCTACTTACCGCTTGTCGACAAATGAACTTTTTTTTTTTTACCCCTACGTCATTTTTGATTAAGTATTAGTCAGATCAGAAATAGAATATTGTAATATCCTGTTCAAAATTGGTTCGTTTAACTTTAAATCAAAGGATTGATATTAATACAGCAATACGGCGTATTTTTGCTTGGATTATAATCACTTGCGAAACCTTTATTGTGCAGATTAAGTCATTTGAGATGGAATAACAACCTCGCAGGTGTATATGCTGGCTTTAAAAACGAATGAATGAATGAATGAATGATAAGAAAACACCTCGTTAAGGTTTTCCGGCGCTTAGTTTATACCTTTTATTATAGAATCATTTATGTAGTTCACCGAATGTTTTTGAATTCCAACTTTCTACATATATTGCTTCCGACAGTTATCGCAGACAATCAAAGATGCTGAGTACTATCAGGAAGATATAAGCAGAAAGACTATTGAAAGAAAAGAGCATAAAAAGAGAAAAAAAGCTAGAGGAGAAAAGAATTCCTGAAGCTCAGTGAAGAGAGCAGAGCAGAGCAGAGCAGAGCAGAGCAGAGCAGAGCAGAGCAGAGCAGAGCAGAGCAGAGCAGAGCAGAGCAGAGCAGAGCAGAGCAGAGCAGAGNGAGCAGAGCAGAGCAGAGCAGAGCAGAGCAGAGCAGAGCAGAGCAGAGCAGAGGATCGGAGATATAATATTAATATAAAAAAGATTAGATAAAAGATGACAGGATAACAAACAAAAGTTAAAAAGGAAAGATCGAGTATATTCATCATTGAGTCTAGACTACAACAACAGATCGAAATGAAATGTTTTTCAGGCCCTGCGGTTTTTCCTCCCTCCTCTCAAATCCAACCCTAACTAATTCAAACTGGTTACAGCTGTGCTCCGGGGTCATACATGGACTGCATGTATAGCGGCTGCCAAAGGCGAATTCACAAGCTTTCAGCTGTGCCACTGCTGTACTTTAAGAGGTGATTAGCGATAACAATTTTTCAACTAGCACAATGTTCGTGACTGTTAACTGGTTTCGTGACTCCATTTTTGTCTGGCAAATATTTATGATAAATATTAGAAGTAGTCGTGCTATACAAGTAGTAGTGCTAGTGCTAGCTCGAGTGCTAAATTAGGTATTAGGCCAGGAAACTAACGTACCTTTTTTTCTGAATGCCAGCAAAATTCGTGCAAACATCATTTGATGGTGCTGATAAATTGTTGTTGTGCTAAGAAGGCACCCGATAGAGCATGCTGGTACTCACAAACATACTAAGTGAATCGAATATTCAAAAGTGTATCTATCTTTCATTCGTACTTTCAATTTCGATTCTAATTTACAAGAACTCGGATACTAGACTATCTCATCCGCGGCGAGGATGGTGAATACTAATTGTGTACCTTAGGGAATTGAGAAACGTGCATTGAAAATCAATATTAAGGTAGATAGCTCCAAGTAGATCCTCATTTTAAACACACTTGGTTTAAAATTTCTTTTAAGTGGGCAGATGATTATTCCTACGCTAGACAGATTGAATTTCAAACCAGATTGTGTATGCGCATAGTGCAGCGGTAAATACTCAGAGCGTGCAGCTGTTTCAAACCAGAAAGACCGTTGGTTGGAAAGGACGTTTACTTTAAGATACTGAGTCGGTGAACAACAACATATATCAGTGAACGAACTCTATTTAGTATCTACGAATGAAGGAAAATAAACACACCGCGATATGTAACTCAATCCGTCTGTACTAGCGCCCTTAATTGGTAACCAGAAGAAGTTTATTCAGCTCCATCGGCGTTACCATAGTAACGTTCAACAAATACCCCTCAAAGTCTTTAAAAGACTTTAAAAGGTTTTAAATCTATTAGTATCCGTGTAGCTTCACACTGATTTTTACCGCAACAAGACGATTGATTAGATATGTTTGGTTTTGAGTAAAACAATGAACATTCATTAGGGATGAACCATTAGTTAATTCGGGGG